TTTTATTCTAGTCTGTTTCTGAGACATGGTGACATGGTGGTCGTGAACATATTTAGTAAAATTACGTTTTGGTCAAAAGATTATAGTAACCCGTTGGCTGTTGAAAATAATGTAAAAGTTTACATTGCCATGCTCTTGCGATCTGAGATTGAAGCTTGTATCAGTGAAAAAAATGAGGACTTGCTTATCATCACACATATGAAGCTGGGGATGAAGGAGCAACTGAATCGAAAGTAATCGCGTAAATTTCGAAATCCGCGTAAAAAACCGCGTAAATTCTGAAATCCGCAATCAACAATCTTAATTCATGACAATTACAGCATTTGCCAAAATAGAGTTTTGCAATAAACACTGGCTTACTGACGAGGAACGGATTTACATAAAGGTGAATAAGGAACTATTATCAACTATAGATACTATAGATTCCATAGATAAGTGGAGGCACAAAAAGTTGTTTTGGCAACCATGAAAAATAAATGATCTTACTGGCATCCGTAAACAAAGTTCATGCCATCATAGAGCTCTTTGTTGTGCAGTTTTGTTTTGTTTCGTGCGCAAAAGTTCAAAATGAAGTGCAAAGCAAATCTTTGCAACAATGAACCGAGGAATGGTTTGCTTTATCTTTCATTCTTCCGCTGTCCGTGAAATAAATTGAATGTGGAGTGTGGAAAGCGTTTTGTGCTCATAATATAACAATACTTCTCCCTCAAACAACACCATGATGACGTCATTCTCGTTTGGCTACACTAACTGACAGCTCATTTGGCTAAATTATACTTTGCCTCCGCTTATCTATGGAATCTATAGTATCTATAATATAAACAACACGCTGAAATTTTTAATGTCTTACAGGCCAAGTTGTGCAGAATTCTACGTATATCCGAAAGACATTATCTTCAAATACATAAACAAAAAGTTTTATTACTATAATGCGCGTACATTCAAATATGTATCAGAGTAATATTAGCACATCATTTATCGCTATCAACACACAGCAAAAAAATAATTTTAATATCACATCAAAGTGGATGCACTTCAATCGTGTCGAAAATATGGTGTAATATTCCTCGCTAAAAAGGACAAAATTATCATTAATACAGTGCATGAACTGACATTACGCTGCTTTTACTGCATTTGTTTATTGTTATGGCCACAACAATTACATGTGGTTTTCGACATGATTGAAGTGCATCCTCTTGGATGTAATATTAAAATTTATTTTTTGCTGTGCATATTAAAAACGTGTAATGCTCAATAAATGAAAAAAAAAAAAATCCTGGGGTCCATTAAATTGTAACGTAATGCAAAAGATTGCTTTTCAATACACTGAAGTCTTTTTTTGCATGGTCACAATTTTTGGTGTAAATACAGAAATTTTTAAAATATGCCTGTTTGGATCATAGCATGCTATAATTACAAATGGCATCAAAATCCGATTTTTTAAAAACATTTAAGCATGTGAAAAACCAAAATCTAGTAGGTTTTTCTTTACACGGTTTTTTTTACACGGTGCGTATCCCCCGTGTAAAAAAACACCTGAGTGTACTATCCACCTCTACCTTTTCTTATACTTAATAAAAGGGTTGTAACACGTTGCCATACGACTCCACCCCCTGCAATTTTAATAAGCACTTGGCATACGTTGAGAATGTCTCAAAATTGAGAACGACTCGAAATTAAGTAAGAGTTACTCATATTTGAGTACCGGTTACTCATATTTGCGAAAACGTAGGTCACTCATAGAATGAGTCAATTTTCTGACGCTTTTCAGAGGAAAACTTCTCGGATATGAGGAAAACTGAATATGGTTTTAGTCTTTCCACTAGTGAACTTAAAATCTGTGTACAATTTTCTTAAATTTTCCCCATATTCAAGAAGATTTCCGCGAGAAAGTGTCGCAAAATTTATTCACACTATGAGTGACCTACGTTTTAACGATTTTGAGTAATCTGAAATTTTTTTGTACATGTGCGATTGGCATGAAAAGTTTTTTTTCTAAATCATTAAAAATAAACTCACGCCGACCCACGCTGACCCACGCCGACCCACGCCGCCACGCCGCCGCCGCCGAAAGCAAACGGCGTGACGCCGCCACGCCGCCGCCGCCGGCAGAAAATAACATATCACGCCGCCGCCGAAATTTTTTTGATCGGCGCACAGGTCTAATTTGAGAAAAGTAAAGATTGGATTCACTCAGTCTATTGGTACTATTTCGAGACTGAATGAATTTTTCGTCAATTTCCTGATTTTCCGACAGATTTTTTAGGTTTTCCACAGGAAACCATGAGACAAATTTACTCATCGCTGAGTTCCTGCACTTTTGGCGATTATGAGTGAACTAAACTCAAATGTGGGTCGTTCTCATTCACGATGGAAAATGAACAGGTGGGCAGGAACTCACAGTCTCCCAGTGTTGGTGAGTTCTTTGCCGTTAATGTTCACGAAAAGTTCACTATTTTGCTATACAGAAATTCAAAACAAAAATTTTATCTGCGGATTTGAACAGTTTTTGACCTGTTTCATACTACCGGAAGGTGTATGCTGGTCACAAATGCCGTGCCAAACTGATTTCCTACTCAATTAATCAATCTTTGATGTGAAATTCGCTAATAAATACGAGGCGCATTTCGTATAGCAAACATGCCATAACAAAATGGGCATGGTTCATTTAAGTAAACAAACTAACACTTCTTCCGACTGTTACACCTATGTATTAGCCGTCTCGGTTCTCATTCGCCGTCAAGCTAACAAAACTCACCAGCTGCAAATCTGAGGAGAGATTGAGTTTCATGATTATTGCTTTACACCCGAACGCAACCGAAGCTTCCATAACGTCGGTGAAGAGTGAAAAGAGATAGCAAACTATACTTTCTCTTTCTAAGAAAACGATGTGCAACGGCATCATTTTAGTGTCGAGTCAACTTTCAGCTTGATATTTTGCACGTTGTGAAGGAGGTTGTAAAATCATCATCAAGCATAATATTTTGTTCCAATATCACGCGTGATGTTGAGAGCGTATGAGAGCGGAAAAATGTAATTTCGTTCTCTTCCACAACCCCACCATTTTCCTCTTCATCCGTATAGGATAGCAAAGTATTTTAGAATTTGCCTGCCTGGCGGCAGCTTTTGCATACAGTTTAAATTTTAGTTCAATGAAAATATTGGATTAGTTTCAAATTGGATATTTCGATGTGCAGTTATTCCAGTTATAACAGAGCAAGGGTAGTGAATGGACTTCACTTTTTGAAAGGCATGCTTCTTGTTGGCTGGTTGGGAGTGGCTTCTGTCTGCTCCAAAACTCGTCTACCGAGAGACTGGAAGGAGATCTTCATAGATACCTTGCGTATTCTTCTCGTTGGCGAGCTGAGCTGAATGTGGGTATTGATTAGAGCTGTCAAGATACCTCGCGAATGCTTCTCGTTGACGGGCTAAGAGTACGTGTGGATTTTACTCCTAATCAGGCCCTAAAAACCTCTAGAGGTTGATTTTATTGGATAGGTTTGTGACTATTTTTTGTTTGTTCGTTGGTTATTTTGAAAAGGTGAAATATGAGTTTGATAAATTTGTTTTTCTTTTATTTCACTGTATTTAAATGAAATTCCTTTAACATGAAAATGTATGATCTCGAAATTTTCTGACAAAAATTCCGTTAAATTCCGAATCGAAGCGAAATACACGGTATAACTCGATATACCGCATGCCCTTACAATACAGCCATATCGAATCACCATGAAATTGAATGTTAAATTCGTGCGAACAGAAAAACTTTTCACGGCTTTATGCGAATTTTATACGGTTTTTTATACTCAAGAGATTATTGGCGTTGTCTTGAGCTGCGTAGTGAATGGGTGTCGATCCGGATGAATCTTGTGCATCTATTTTGGAAGATCGATTGAGGAGAAGTTTTGCTATTTCTGAATGCTCCCGTTTAATACCATCGTTATTAACCATGCTCCAATGCAGTTCATAAAAATCATGAATATATTGTGGCGACCAACAGCCACTTTCACAGTTGAGAGGTGTTCTTTATTCGTCATTCTGATAAAGTTTAACCATTGCTAGATGCCCATTTTCACCTGCACCTACACCTGTTTTATTATTTTTATCCAGATGATCCACAATGATCGTTGGCAGATCGATCGCGGAGAGGTTTAACAATTTTTTGTTCATTTTAGTTGCATAGTATAGAGGTGTTTTATTATATATATCCTGGCACGTCCTACACGTAGGCAGATCGATCGAGGAGAAGTTTAACAATATCTAGATGCCTCATTTGAATTGCATAGTGGAGAGGTGTTCATTTTGCTTCATCCTGATGATCAACGTTGGCAGATCGATCGAGGAGAAGTTTAACAATTTCTAGATGCTTCATTTGACTTGCATAGTGGAGAGGTGTTGTATTAAATTTATCCCGATGATCAACGTTGGCAGATCGATCGAGGAGAAGTTTAACAGTTTCTAAACGCCCCCATTGACTTGCATAGTGGAGAGGTGTTTTATTATCTTCATCCTGATGATCCACCTTGGCAGATCGATCGAGGAGAAGTTCAACAATTTCTAGATACCCCCATTTACTTGCATAGTGGAGAGGTGTATTATTAAAAAAATCCCGATGATCAACGTTGGCAGATCGATCGAGGAGAAGTTTAACAATATCTAGATGCCTCATTTGAATTGCATAGTGGAGAGGTGTTCTATTAAATTTATCCTGATGATCAACGTTGGCAGATCGATCGAGGAGAAGTTCAACAATTTCTAAACACCCACATTCACTTGCATAGTGGAGAGGTGTTTTATTATCTATATCCTGATGATCCACCTTGGCAGATCGATCGAGGAGAAGTTTAACAGTTTTTGAACGCCCCCATTTACTTGCATAGTGGAGAGGTGTTTTATTATCTGCATCCTGATGATCCACCTTGGCAGATCGATCGAGGAGAAGTTTAACAATTTCTAGATGCCCATTTCTACTTGCATAGTGGAGAGGTGTTGTATTATCTTCATCCTGATGATCCACCTTGGCAGATCGATCGAGGAGAAGTTTAACAATTTCTAAACGCCCCCATTTACTTGCATGGTGGAGAGGTGTTTTATTATCTTCATCCTGATGATCCACCTTGGCAGATCGATCGAGGAGAAGTTTAACAGTTTCTAAACGCCCCCATTCACTTGCATAGTGGAGAGGTGTTTTATTATCTTCATCCTGATGATCCACCTTGGCAGATCGATCGAGGAGAAGTTTAACAATTTCTAGATGCCCATTTCTACTTGCATAGTGGAGAGGTGTTATATTATCTTCATCCTGATGATCCACCTTGGCAGATCGATCGAGGAGAAGTTCAACAATTTCTAGATGCCCCAGTTCACTTGCATAGTGGAGAGGTGTTTTATTATCTTCATCCTGATGATCCACGTTGGCAGATCGATCGAGGAGAAGTTTAGCAATTTCTAGATGACCCATCTCACTAGCCATGTGCAGCGGACTTTTATTGGAGCATGCATCAAAGTTTAATTCTTTAACCACGGCCATCAAATTCACATCTATGCCATAATCAAGTAGAAATAAAACCATCTCATAATGACCAGCACGCGACGCAGTGTGCAATAACGATCCGTATTCTTTGTATGTTTTAGTTTTGTAATCATTCTTTTGAAGTAACCCCTTCACTACTTTTACAACATTTGCTTTACATGCCCAGAATGCAACCTCAGGTTTTTCTTTACAAATATCGCTCAGAGCAATCATTTGCTCTGATTGTTCTGAAAACTGTTCTTCAGTTAGCATAAAGAAAAATCTTCGAACTGTTTTATGATAAACAAGTACTTCGTCCAAAATTGCTTTGCATTTTTGGATATGACTATATATATACGTTGCAACGAAAAATTCGGCATAGGATCGGTGTACGAATCTAAGCTTGCCTTCGGAAATATTAAATAGAGGAGAGTGCTCGTTTCCCTGTTTGATTCGGGTTTGAAGTTCGTTGTAACGTTTTTCGTGTTTACCCGATGCGATTATTTCCTTATGTTTATCCGCAAAAATCTCGTGCCAAGCAGCTATTTGATGCTCAATAGTAAAGTATTTCAACTGCCGGCGCTCTTCGTCATCACTTGACATGTCGATATTTCGGTAAGCATCTTGATCTCTTTTTTTCTTCCATTTGATTTGAAACGAAAATTCTACAAACTTTTTAAACAATGAGACAACATTAAATTTTTCTTTCGGGAAAATATCTGGTGCACGTTTATCTGGAACGGTATTTAAATATTGTTGGAAATCATCAGAATATACTTCCGCCAACAATCGAATTAAAAGTGGAGTACCAAAGAATTCAGAGTCAAAGCTTTGTATGTCCGAGTAGAATTTTTCGAGCAATTGAGTTGAATAAATTTTAAATTCCCTTGAATCATCGGAAGCTTTCCATGAATTTTTCAAAACCATAATTTGTTCATCGTTTTCAAATGGAATCAATCTGATTGCCCTTGTTTTAAATTTTGTTTCAAGAATATCTTTGACATGATATCTACCACTAACAATCACTCGAATATTCTCCTTTGACAATAATTGCCTAAATACGGCGATTGCCTCGTTATGAAAAGTGATCTCATCGAACCCATCAAACAGGATTATCGATTCTGTTCGATTTGCGTTGCTTTCTAGATTGTTTCTCAATATTTTCCGGCTTGCTTCTGAAAGAGTCGATTGCAGAATTTTGAAAACCGCTTCTAAATTTTCACAGCCTGATTTGAGCACTTCCTTTAAGTTATTCAAATATATCAAGAACACATCAATATCGGACTTCTTTTGAACTTCGAAGGCAATGTGTTGGAGGATAGTTGTTTTTCCCATACCAGGCTCTCCGATGAAGAGAGAAAATTTGTTTTCTGCTGGGTCGTCTATCAATCGTTTGATGAAATCATGGTCGCTAACAATAAGATTGTCATCAATTAATTTTCTTTCTATGTACGAGCTTCCAATATATTTACGTTGTGAAAAATTACGACTCAGTTCTACCGTTATTTCTTCGACACAAGAGCGTCCCTCTTTATAAGATAAGTAACTCTTTTCTGGCTTATTGTTTTTTGTATCCTTGTAACTATTAGAATTGATCCAATTTTTAAAACATTCATTAAATTTAAAGAAAGGCAGTTTTAATTGTGCTTTTCCAAGATCGTCCGGTGGAATCCAATCTCTCATCCATGAGCGAAGATCATTCTCGATGGTTTTTATAAGATCACTTGGTTGGTTTACACAGAAAGTTAAATGCTGAAAGAACTTGCTCACGCTATCTTCATTTAAATAGGCTGGTAGTTGGGTGTTCCTAGATTTACCATTCATAAAATTTTTAATCGTTGTATTTTCTGCTATTAATCTCTCATCAATACCCTTTAGTAGCTCATTGTGCAACCATTCATGGGTGAGACCACCGTCCTCGGAGAGCTTTAGATTTTTATCTGAAACTTCCAGGATCTTCTGCAACGGTGTTTTGTAGCTGATTAGTATGTCCGAAACTTTTCCACTTTTGAAGAGTTCAATGATCGCATCCCTAATGGCATTTAGTTCGGTGTTCATCAACTTCAGTAAATCTTCAATTTTATCCTTTTTTGGTCTGAATCTTTTGTAGCAATCGTTCGATTCAGCAAACTTCATTATTGGGTTCACTTCACCTTGTTCACAGTCCTCGATGTCCACCAACTCTTTAAGCTGACTATTGCTATCGTCTAATGATTTATTGGTTAAGATAAAAAATCGCATCTTCAACTCCTTGAACTCATCTTTTTGAATAACGTCTAAATACGACTGTATGTACTTGATAATAGCAAAATCATTATTACCTTTACACGTCTTCGGAAACAAATTGTCGAACGATATTGTACCATCTGAGTTGTCTTTGTGTTTGGCTTGGAAAAACCACACTTCCTTCGGTTCTTCGAAAATTATGACCACATCATCGAATTTTCCAGCGTCCTTCATTTCTGAGGCCAGCTTGAATTCAGATTTCTGCAAAGATGCTCGCTCAAACAGCGCAAATGCTAAATCTTCTTCGTATTTGTTGCCATGATTGCCAGTATTGCCACCCCATGCATAGCGGTGACTGACATCCTTGGTGTGCTCCATTATTTTCCCTAAAAAAAAACACAATCTTTTAGTTTTTAGACACAGGAAAAGCATTCGACAGTGTTTGGCATGACAAAGTTTCAGAGTTGGTTGAAAATGCTATCTAACATGAAGCTTTAGTGTGATAATTGATTAGCTAGAGAATGGTCATTAGAAGAGAGTAGGTAGATAGTTCCGTTAGAGTACGGCAATATGAAAATTGAATAGAAGTTGAAAATGAGCGAAGGGCCTTTGGCTATTCCACAGCCGCAGACATTAATGAGCAAAGGCAGTCGCACACTTTTTGCCTGTAGATTTGAAGACATACTTCAAATCTCCGCGTACTTCGTACCGGCTAGGCAAAGAGTGTGCGTTTGACTTTGTACTGTCGCATTAATGGCCCTTCGCTCATTTCAACTTCTATTCAATTTTCATACTGCCGTACTCTAGCGGAACTATCTACCGACCCTCTTCTAAAGACCATTATCTAGCTAATAAATTATCACACTAAAGTTTCATGTTAGATCGCATTTCCAACCAACTCTGAACATCGCAAACTTCGCGTTTGAAGTAACATAAAAACACTTTGAATGAAAAAGTTTATTTTTCCACTCAATATTATGAAATTAATTTTTTGAGTTACGGTTTAGCGACTTGCAGTAAATTTAATTGTTTGTAAGAAACTTTGAACATACTGAGACGTAAGCACATATCAACGGTAAGAAACGTGTGTGTGAGAAAATTTGCGAAAAAATCTAAGGGAATTCAATTCCCATTCAGTACACAGATGCATTGCCAATTATACAGCGGTGGACCTATATGGTCTATGGATGTATTTGGCTGATGACACTTGAGTTTCGAATATGTTTCCCACCCTAGTTTTTTTTTGCGCAAGCGTTCTCTAATACACAACAATTGTCTATTATCGACGATATGTGCTTGTACCGCAACCACTCAGTATCAGTCGATGTGAACAAACACAGCTCTTTTTTGTTGTACCTACATCCTTACAAGTTTAGATATTTTCTCTTCTTATTTACAAAAATGGAAGATTTCTCCCAACGCTTCCAAAACTCAACTTATAATATTTCCACATAAGCCTAGAGCTTCGTTTTTGAAACCTAATAGTAGTCACATAGTCACAAATTCTTGGTCATGTCAAGTGAAATATCTTGGATTAGTGCTTGACCAAAGATCACATTGAGGGCATTCAAGCCAAATGTAACAAATATATAAAATGTTTGTATCCTCTTATAAACAGGAAATCCAAACTTTGCCTGACGAATAAACTTCTAATATTTAAACAAGTTTTTAGATCGGCTATGCTTTACGCTGTGCCAATATGGTCTTGTTGTTGCACTACCAGGAAAAAATCACTTCAAAGGATTCAGAACTAAGTTCTGAAGATGATTTTGAAGTTGCCTCCCTGGTACAGTACTACCGAAGTGCATAGAATGTCGAATGTTGAGACTTTAGAACAAATGTCCGACAAAATAATTAATAATTTCAGGCAACAATTGAGGATTGCAACGATTAATTCTCTTTATACTTAGATAAGATTTACTTTTAGTTTTTAGTTTTAAGATATCAATTGTTATACTGACATGCAAGTTTAAAAAACCTGTTTAAAATATTAAAATACTGAATTGCCAAGACAGGAACAATGTGAAAATACTTAGATATATATCATAACAATTAAGGCTGGTAAGTTACTGTAGTAACTGAAGCACCTAGGTTAAAATGAAATGTAGTTTATTTTGAGTTTGGAACAAATAAAGAGTTTGAAAAGAATCAGGAAATAGGCTTTAATATATATAATTCAAACTTAAAACATTGCATGATGTCCTAAGTATAATATTGATGGATTCTCTTCGTCGACTCTTTCGTTAATAACTTTCTTGTTGTGTTTGTCGTATTAGATGCTAGATAAAAGCTTCTTTTATCGATCTGTGTTATGAAAAAAACCTTCTTCTTCTTCTTCTTATTCGCATTTCAAGCTTATTGATTAGTGCATATTAGCTTATTGCGTGCTCTTAACTTAGTGTTCTGAATACACTTCCACAGTTATTAATTGAGAACTTTCGATGCCAATACCAATGCATGAATTTGTATATTGTGTGGCAAGCACAAGCAAGCACCGGGAATCGAACCCGCCACCTCCAGCTTAGTAATACCATGCCTTTACTGACTAGGCTATGAGGCCCACTGGCTGAACATACCTGGAAATGTATTTACATGGCCGAAGGGATACAAGGAGAAAGTCGACGAAGAGAATCGGTCAATGTTATTTAGGACATAATGCAAAGTTCAGCTTGAATTGTTTCGCTTAGCTATAGCAATGTAAAGAGAAAACCAATGAAGAGAACATTACAACGCTAACTGTCGAATTTCAGTACCTAGCACTGCAAAAAACTCGACGGTACCTCTATTTATGCTAAGAGAATAACATTGTAAGTCCCTCCTACTTGGAGAATTATGCAATTGAACGGCTTGCTATGCCCCGCCCCCATCAACAAAACATCCGGGATTTTATAAACCGTTCTATAGCATAATTTCCCAAGTAGGATAGACTTACATAGGTAATCTAAAAGCATAAATGGAGGTAACGTCTGGTAATTTCCATTTAATTATAATTTAATTTGCAAATTTTTATGAATTTCTTTTTTTTCTGTGGTGTTTACAAATATCCACACACCCGCACAACTTTGACTGTCGAGTTTTATTTGAATTTCGTGTTAACATCTTTCTGGATATTTGTGAACCTCAATTTTCATAAACTGCTCCCTTTTTATACCGGTAAACGGCAATGTAACATGTGTGAGCCAAACTCACGTTATTTTTTAGGTGGCGAACTTTCATTTTTACAACCTTCATCCCGTGCTTATACCCTTGATCACATTTCATAAGGGAAGCATAAAAAAGAAAGAGATATCGCAAGAAATTTTCTCTATTATACCTGTTTTGTAAGACATTAAGTGGGAGTTGTTCCACCAATGACCCGATGAGACAGCTTATAGAAGTTACATTTAAATTCAAATCCCTGTTCATAAGTTTTTCCTTGATTTTGTTGAATTTCGATGAAAGTTTTCAAACTTTCCTGATGTTATTTGAACGTCTCTGAGTTTGGCATTTTTTTCTGAAATTCTCAGATATTTCATAAAGTCTACAGTACTTTCCAAATGTTATTTAATTTTCATCAAAAAATTTCTCACGTTTAAAGAAATTTTTGCAGAGCACCATTGAAATTTATATAATTATTATAGTTCACAGAAATCTTTTGAGGTTCGTAGAACCTACCAGGAGGACATTGAACCCCTAAAGCTCCGGAAATCAAAACTCTGCCCGAAGAATAAACTAATAATATTTAATCAGGTTTTAAGTTAGACCAGGACAAAAACACCTTAAAGGATTCAGACTAAAGCTCTGAATTTGATTTTGAAGTTGCCTTCATGGTTCACTTCTGCCGAAAAATCTAGAATTGATTGCCAATCCTCAATTGCAATGATTAATTCCCTTTACAATTAAGGCCTGTACTCGAAAAAAATGCACCAGACAAAAGTGTTCGCCAAAAATTTATTTTAAGTCGGATTTTTTGAAACTTTCAGGGAATGAACTAATGGACACATGGATTATGTTTTGGCATAATTAATTTATTGAATTTCCTTTCCATTACATTTTGTGCAATGGTGGAGCCGACCTTTTGGGTCACTTTCATCCATTCTTTCTTTAACTCCAGCTCGTTCTTAAACACTTTGGACGATTTTCGAACTTTGGCCGTCATTATGGCCCAAAATCTTTCCACCGAACGAATCTCTGGTGAATTTGCGGGGTTGGCGGTTTTTGGTACAAAAACAACGTTATTGTCTCTGTACCAATCCAACGTCGATCGCGCGTAATGGCATGATGCCAGGTCCAGCCAAAATAATGTCTCGTCTCCGTGGAACCGCAGGAAGGGCAACAGACGCTTCTGGAGGCACTCGGTGCAGTAAATTTCGCTGTTGATGGTACCCATTGTGATGTACGGTTTACTCAGTTTATCGCATTGGCATATGGCCTTCCAGAGCAAGTATTTTTTGGCGAGTTTGTCCACTTTCTTCTTCCTTATGTCTTCCGGAACATCACACCGTGATTTGGCAACGTAGAACTCCAGCCCCGGTATCTGCTTTGCGTCTGCCTTGATGTAGGTTTCGTCATCCATAACCACACACATCGCATCAGTTTCGTTAACCACTCTCGATACAGCTTCCTTGCGTGGGATTTGGCCACCGTGTTTTGTTGATCACGCCGGTTCGGTGCCTTCCGAACCTTGAATACACGAAGCCCAGCTCGTTTCATGGTTTGCTGAAAGAACCAGGCGAAACACTTTGCCTTCAGAGCCGCGACGCGAATCGAAAGGTTCGGATTACGCTTGAAATAATCCAACACCTTCCGGGCCTTCACAGGGTCAGCTGTCTTCGATTTTCATCCACTTCCAGCCCGCCGCTCGGTCATCTGGGACTTCTTAAACGATTTTACCACCCGAGAAGCAGTTGTATGGGTGATTCCCAGTTATCTTCCGATCCATCTCATGGTCGCAGTCGGATTTTCCATGACGGCGCGCAAAATTCTCCGGCGATTTTCTTCTTGTTTCGATGACATCTCAATAACCACTGAACCGATTGTTATGAAATTTTGCACATGTAAACAATTCACTCCAAACTAGTTATACCCAGATTTTCATCAATTTTTACCCACGGATAAAAAAGTTAAACACGGATAAAAATGGTGCATTATTTTCGAGTACAAGCCTTAGATATGTTTTAGTTTTGGCTTTCAGTTTTAAGATTTCATTTGTTATACTGACATGCAGGTTTAGAAAACCTGTTTTAAATACTGAATTGCCAAAGCAGGAACAATGTAAACACACATAGCTATATATCAGAACAATTAAGGCTGGTAAGTTACTTTAGTAGCTGGAGCACC